TGGCTGGTATTTTGGCGTCCTTTCCTGGTTTCGGGATCATTATCGTTGTAGCAGTTTTCCATTGCCGCGGGAAGTATTCTTGGCGAATGCAACCGTTGTAAATGTGAGCTAGCTGGATAATGACCTTTTTGCTGCAATGTTTAAGGGCGGCGTTTGTGATGCCGTCTGGTCCTGGGGCTTTTTTGCCTGGGAGTCTCTTAATTTTCTTTTGAATTTCCAGGGGCGTGAAGTAAATCGACTTGACGTATGTTTCTGTTCTGTAATTGTCTAGGGTTTGTTGTACTAGTTCGTCTGTTGGAGTGATGACGTCGGCAGGTGGCAGCGAGAATTGCTTCTCCATTGCTAAGGCAAAGATCTCTGCTTTGTTGTCCGCGTTGTAGTGGAGGTTGCCGGTTTGGTCGGCCAGTGGTCGGTCTGCGGGTTTTTTCCGGAGGAGGGTTCGGTTGAGGTTGAAGAGTCTCGTCCATGGGCGTTCGCTGGGGTCAACTGTGCCCAGGAAGTTTGTCCAGTTCTCTTCATGGTGGGACTGTAAGAGGTTCTTGACCAAGGCGTTTTGTCTGTTCAGGGCGGTTTTGACCGTGGGGTCCCTTGTCCTTTGCCATCTTGACCGAAGCCGGCGTTTGTAGTCAATTTCCAGCGTGATCGCTCTGGGTAAGTCATATTTTCTGTCAGTCGGTGTGACTGTTGTCGTGTTGTTGTTGAGTGTCTGGGCTATGTTGGAGGTGAGTGTCGTGATAGCTTCGTCAATAGACTCTTTGGTTTCAGTGTGTGGGTTAATGTCCACTGAGTTCGTGAGGTCGGTCATGAATTGGGTCCAGTTGACTGCTCGGAGTGGTTTCGGGGGCGTCAAATGTTCTTTTCCAGTTCAGATGTCCAGTAGTAGGACTGTGTGGTCCGAAGTCAGTTCGTCAGTTAGGTTGTCCAGCTGGTATTGCATTCCGCCCGTCTTTAGGATGGCTATGTCTAGTACGTCTGGGTTGTGGTACGGGATGTCCGGGTAGTGTGTCGGGGAGTCCGGCGCAGCTACCGCAGTGTCGTTTCTTGTGGACAGGTATCTTTCAAGACGCCTACCGGCCGTGTTTGTCTGGTTGCTGTTCCACGTTGGATGTTTGGCGTTCAGGTCGCCTGCCACGATTGTAGGGAGGTTTGAGTTTAGCAGCGAGCATATGTCGCTCGTATCCAGCTGGGTGTGTGGGCTCTTATATGCTGCTGTTAGCCTGAATTCTTTTCTGCCGAGCTGTAGGTGGATTGTGGTGTTCTCGATGGACATCGTTGGAACTTGTACTTGATGGTGGGTGTACTTCTTGTGCACGAGAACTGCCGTGCCTCCACTCGGGCGGCTGTTGTCCGTACGAGTACGGTTTGTCGCGTACGTGTGGAAATTTGCCAGCTTGAACTTCACGGTGTCCGTCAGGTGCGTTTCGTTTAGTAACATTATGTCTACTTTCTTGTCTCTGGCAAACTGGAGGAGTTGTAGGCGTTTGGGAGTTACGCCTTGGCAGTTCCAAATGAGGATGCGGGTGTTATCCATTGTTATTTAGGATAAGGGGCAGGATTGCCATGATTGTGGCGATAAGAGCGTCCTTCATATCCGTTTTTCCCGAGGAAATGTTGAGTAACAATTCCTGCAGTTTAGCTGCTATTGGTTGCATCATCACTGCTGGGTTTCCTTTCGTGACCTTGGCGTAGGTTATTCCTGGGGAGACTTGTTGGACGGGCCCGGAGGTTTCCGGTTGTGTTGGAGCTGTAGTTTTTGCGGGGATTCTTGTTATGATTGGCCTTGTGGAACGCTTCTCAGTGATGGCCTTGATGACTGCGGGGCATTTTTTGAAGTTGGCCGTGTGGCGGCCTTCACAGTTGGAGCAGGTTGGTTCCTCTTCCTTGGTCTTGGGGCATTCGCTGGGTCGGTGTGGTCCAGCGCATTTCACGCATTTGGTGGCAAATCCGCAGTTGTGGCTTGAGTGTCCGAATTTTTGGCAGTTGTAGCACTGTGATGGGGCGTTTGATTTGTAACGTTCGACTCTGATCGTCATGTAGAACAGAGAGCGAAGTTGGAATATCCCTTTGTTCTCCGGAGAGTTTGGTAGAATTACCATGTGGATTGGCAATTTCTTGTCTGCAGTTCCGAACTGACGGACGCTTTTGGTGGCGAATCCAAGATCTTTCAGTTCTTCGGCGACCTCTACTTCAGTGATGCTGTTGAGGAGGCCTTTAATGACGATTTTGAGTGATTTTTCAGAGGGTAGACTGAAGGTGTGGAATTTGGTTCCGGTCACTGTAAGGTATTTTTGCACTATCTTGAAGGCCTCCATGTTAGAACATTGGATTTTGATTTCTTCTTTGCCGAAGGCTTTTGCCTCCACGGCATCTTCGGGCATTGAAGTCATTAGTTTTTTCGCCACAGTCCTCCAGGCGGAGCCTTGAACTATGATTGGCGGTATCTTAATTTTTGGTGTTCGGTCCACTGGAGTGGCTGGCCTTGAATGATCCTCTTCGGAGATACATGAGTTAGCAATCGACATTTCAGTGTCGGAGTTGTCCTCTGGTGTGGAGGTGGAGATCGTCGGTTTTTTGTTAGCCCTGGTGGTAGGCGTGGTCTGGTTTCTTTTCCTGTTCTTCTTGGTTTTCACAGTAGTAAACTGCTGTGAACAGTTGACTTCCGCCATTGCTGTCAAGTAACCTTTCCGGTCGAGTGCCCTGAAAAGGGCAGGTGGGGTTTCTTGGTCAGTCGAACGGCCAGGCGTGGGTAAAATCAGTGGGGGGGGGGGTAAGGCGCCCCCCCCCCTCCCCCCGTTGGCTATATCATAGTATTTGCTATTTTAATTTTGGGGCAAAGCTTTTGTTTTTTATTGTTCATAAATCAATTTTATGTAATATTACAAATAAAATCTCTATCAGAGTGAACGCAGACTAATATTCACACCGGCGGCCGAGGACCGCCATGTGTCTTCTTTTTTTTTTGGTCAAAAATAGAATCTGATTTTATATTGTTTGGTCTACAAATATTATCTTGTACATATCGCTAGCTGCACAACCCGTGCCGTTCATATTGACCGCAGGGTTCAATACTTCAATAGGTCCTAATGTCTTATTGGATACTCTTGGATTAACTCTTTATTACAGTATTGTATAAGAGAAATGTTTTATTTGCAAGCTGTTCCTGAGCCTGAGCTAAGCCAACTTGATCCTAAAATCAGTTATTCTACTTTTGTAAGTATGAATTTGTTCAATAACTGTAAATAGCCCTTTTAGTTTATTTCAAAGTTGAAATTTACTTTTTTTGTGATCACATAATAGTTACAATAAGTAATAGTAGACTTTTTTGAGCTTTTATTATTTAAAAAAAAAAATTGTAAACAATAAACAAAATTAACTATCGACTTTTATAATTATAGTTGTGGGAGAGAAAGCGGGATTCAACAAAAATTGTATTTAAAGTATTGTTTTGAACAGCATAAATGATTTTTGATCACTTCGCATCACAATAAATAACACATTTTTGTCAATACGTTTTACGTTAACGAAAAATTTGTCTAATGTAGGTTCAAGTTGTTTGATTTATTTAAATATGTTTATTCGATTAAAACACTTAGAACCTAATTCGAACCAAATTGTTTTCGCATAATTTGTTTATTTAAATAATTATTTTGCCAAAAAATTACAATTTTGAAATTTAAATTAGTATAATTAAAGAAAAGTTAAGAATTTATCATAGTAAGAATACTTAGTTGGGTTATTCACTATTGTTTCTTTTTGAAAAAAGCAATCTAGAAATTTAATACAATGCAAGTGTAGTTTTCCTTTTTTTTTTGCGTTTTCAAGATTTTTAAAACATTGTTGACGATATAGCCCTCTAGATACTTTAAATTTAAAATTTCAACTTAAAAACCAAAAAAAAAGATGCTACCTATTTTATTTTTATTATAATATGTTATTAACACGGTTATTCATTAAATTTTTAAGTTACTTTATTCTTAAAGTTGGACAAACTTGGAGAAGAGAGAAGAAAGTATACTGAAAATGCTGTAGAAAATATAATTAGAAATGGATTGAACTACCGACCTGTTTACCAGGGTAAATATTATTATAGAATTGTAATGGCATTGCTTTTTATTGTACTCCATTTTCTACTTTCACTTTATAACATTGAAAGAAAACTTTGGCAACCTTATCTCCCCTCGTTTACTGGGTCGTTTGGTTTCTAGTTTTCTCGTGTGGCCAACCCAATGGGGCCTTCTGACCTCTATACATGACTAGCACAGCTTAGTCAATTTTGTTGATCCGTCACTTACGTGATACATTTGAATGCCATACATTTAAAAGTCATTTAAATATTAATAATTCATAACCGTTTAACAAAAATATAAACGTTTATTTTTTAATAACCACACGTATAACACGTTATGGCTAGAATATTTAAAGTTACGTTTAAAATATTTAGGTAAAGCTTGACCTTCCAATAACAATAGTTTTTAATACAAAATCTTTTTAGCATTTAAAATACCCCAATTATGTAACAATAACTAAGGACTACATAAATGTATTTTATTAGATTTCGATGAATGACACAACAAAATAAACTATAATAACTAGTAAGCTACATTAGGCAACTAAAAAAAATCTTATGTTTTATCAAGGTAAAACTCTACCAGGATTCCAACTTGGCCACCATTGCCTTTTGATAGGATTGTAAAAAAATACAAAGCTCCTGTCAGTTGAATCATTTGGATATATAATAATAACGGAGACATACCATCCTAACGATTGCAAACTAACTTCTTCACTCGATATTACTACCCACTACCAAATGAATGGAAACCAAATTGTTCAAGTATGGCCAGATGATCCAAAAACGGAATCACTATTGAGTAGGTAGTAATGATAATTCAGATCAGGAACCTAGTGATAACTAATTTCTATACACTAAGCATTTTTTCGTATAATAATAAAATTATATACATATTACAGTACTATTATTATTAATATATTAAACACACTTTTATTTTTCATTACACACTTATATACAAAATTGTTAATTAATTACCTAATAAAGTTTATAATAAACATTTTTACTCAGGACTTTAAATATACTCTTTCTTTGATTTTTTTTCTAACCCTCTTTTTTTTGTTTCTAGATCCGCCCTTGGATTTTATAATTGGTTTAACCCAACTTTTGTTATTGTACTAATTTATACTGCACTTTGTGTGGACCGATAAATAACAATAATAATGGGCTAATAAGAAAACTGAGCATAAACAAATAATTCTGCGATAAACAGATTGTAGAGCTTGTTAAGACTCAAATACAACAGTGGCTGATTCTATGGTAGTAGCAGCAGTAGTTGATGATTTACAACTGAAGAGAGTAGCAACAAATGTAACATTCATAGCTTGCCAAAAACAGTTTATGAAGATTTTGTTATGATAACCATTTGTGCATAAAGTCCTAAAAAAAGGAACACATGTAATTAATTTACAAACAAACAAAAAATATCTTATAACTTAAATTTACAATACAAATAATTCTTGTTGAAAAAATTCTACAGCATAGATTAGGTAATATCAACTTCATATAACACAAAAATACCAATTAGGTTTTTTTTTAAGGTTAAATCGCTTATGCATCTAGTTATAGTTATTTAGTCAATGTTTAAAAATATTAATGAAAAGTTTAGCAGTTGTAATAATTACCCTATTTGATTGCAGTTATCTACACCCTATTCATACACAAACTCAGTAAAAAAAACAAATGAAATTAGCCTCTCAGCTCCGTGTTGTAGCTAAAAAAATTAACATAAATTATAGGCTGAGATCACAAAAGTGTGCAGCCGTCTTTGTTTTAGTAGGTAAGATTCTTGAGAAAAATTCATAAGCATGCGTCGTCTTATTTGTAGGCCTTTTCACAAGTACGCATAACAATACCTCACATCATTAACAAACGAGTAGACATTTTCAACTACACGATTTTAAACAAAAACAAAACGATTTTTCAAACCAAATATTCAAAAAGCAAACTTAACCTAATCTCACCCGAATTTTTATTAAGTTAAAACTTTTCAAATAATCACTAACGAAAATTTACCTGCAATAGCAAAACAAATATATTTTTAAATCCAATATAAAATACACTCTATTCACTATTTATTAAAATAATGGCTTTAATATAGAAAAAAATAATATACATAAATATATATGTACCTATAAATACATTACGCTCATTTCCAAATTTTCCACTGCACCCAAGGCCACCAACAACAAGCGGTTGATCCCAGGAACTAGTCAGCTATCTCCCCATGAATTCTCACCTTAAAACATAAAACTATAAAGTTACATTTTGCATAATTCTTATAGCCTCTATTGTTTTTGCTTACTTGGACTTATCGGCGATGATAAAATCCATAGCTCACAACATAGTAACTCGTCATTATCTTTTGAAAAACTTGGACAAGCATCAGAGACTTCTATATCGCTATCACGCAGTTAAGTCTGTAATTTTATGAGGATCGTATTATGATTTCTTGTAATTATGTTTTGGAATTTCTATTATTTTTTACATACCATTGGCTCCAACTCGAGTTCCCGCTCGGAGTCACCTCTTCTACCATAGCGGTGTCCAAACCTTCTATCGGCTAGATCTTCATCCATGATGTGTAACAAGGCCATTTAACTCGAGCTTTTATATTCAAAGGCCTGTCAACGCCTTCAAAGTCAAGGGCCTTAATAGGAAAATGTTGATTTGATAGACAACGAAGAAAAATTAACAAAATCTGAAATGCAAAAGAAAAATATAGAACGATTTGGTTCTAAAATTAGAATACCCCATAAATACATAATATTATATAATCAGTTTTTGTTCACACTAACCCGAACGATTATTTAGAAGCGTTGATTTTTTGCGTAGTTTGTTCATTACAAAAAAAAATTTAAACCCTTTAAATTACAATAGCTGTGCAATCACTTTTTTAATTTTTCTGTTTTGTAGAGTTGTCTCAAAATAATGTTCCTAGCGAACGACTACTGGCTAGTATTCAGTATTATATAAAAAATATAAATGTTTTGTATAAAAAATATAAATGTAATTGGCGATTCTGTTGTTATGTGTCATGTTATCAGTACGCTGCAATAGTAAACTAATGATAAGAAATTTCCCAGGAGGTCCCAAGCTATATCCGCGATACAAGCAAACCGCGGTTATTTAAGTATACACGGTGAAAAATATTGTAAAAGCGATTTCTGAAGCATATTAATTAAGACAACATTTTTGATTTTCCAAATAAATTGAAAAATATTTAAATAGGTACCCACACCAAACACTGTGTTTAAATATTTTATGCGTAGACCGGGGTGGATCCAAGGGGGTGAAGCCTAAAAAAGATGGCCGCCGCGGTTTGTGTGATAAGCATCATCCCTGTGTTAATTTTTATCAGGGTCCGGAGTATAGAATAGAGAGTCACACCCCCTGGATAACATTTTATCGATCAATAAACAGTAGTCAGCTGTCAGTAATCTGTAAGCCATTGGTTTAGTATAATATTTGCCTATTGCTTTTGGTTCCTTCGCGAAAATACGCTTAATGTGAAATGCCTCATGTGTAATCGCTGTTAACTCTAGTCAACGTCTAACAACTTTAGTTGCGCCACAAGATCGATTTAAGTTGGACGGAGACTCACCAAACACCAGCGTATTGAACAGCTAGATACGGAAGAAGAAAACCGAGATGGCAGTCCCGTACCTCACCGAGGACGACCGCTTGTGGGAAACGCTGATGACCACCGTACAAAATGTACTAAAGAACAACTCTATTATGAGCTTTAAGTTACATACGGATCTGTATAACTACACATACAAATTGTTATCGTTAAAAAAAGGCGAACGACTGTACAACGGCCTGAAGGAAACAGTGTCTGCGCATTTAAAGACTAACGTGCTAGCCAAAGTGCTCGGCTCATTAAACAATCATTTTTTAAGAAAGCTGGAGCAATGCTGGCAGAATCATCAGAGAGCAATGGATGTGATTACATATTTATTCATGCATTTGAATGCAGTGAACAGGCTACACAGCGTTTACAGCCTTGGACTCAGATTGTTTTGCGACATTGTGGTGCACAACGATCTCATTAAATTTCATTTACGTGAAACATTGTTGAGCATGGTAATGAGTGAAAGAAACGGCGAGGTCATCGATAGGAAAGAGTTGGAGCGTGCGTGTCGAATGCTCATGGTGTTGGGAATTCAACAACGGACAGTGTATGAAGAAGATTTCGAAAAACCTTTTCTTGCCCTGTCCATCAAGTTCTACAAATTCGAAAGTAAAAGGCTGCTGGCCATAAACAGTGCTCCCAATTACATAAAAGAAGCTGAAGCGTGCTTCAGAAAGGAAGTCGAGCTGGCTGAAAACTTCATGGACCCCCCCAAGAATTGCTGCAAGAATGACTACAACTCAACCTCAAAGAAAATAATACAAGCGTTTAAGGAACATCTTATCCAGAAAAATATAAAAGCCATTTTGGAAATGGAAAATTCCGGCTTAGTGTTCATGTTGAGAAACAAAAGAACAAATGACCTGGCTTGTATGTACAATTTTCTGAAAAAATTTCCAGACGAACTCGAAACCATGTTAGATTGTTTAAGTAAATATCTACGAGAAGAAGGCTGTTCGTTGGTGAAAGAAGACGAAACCAATTTAAATCCTATCACTTGCATACAGAGTCTGTTGGATCTCAAAGATAGATTCGATTTATTCCTCAACAAATGTTTTGTCAACGACAAAATGTTCAAACAGACGATATCTTCGGGTTTCATATATTTTTTAAATTTAAATCCAAAATCTCCAGAGTACTTGTCGTTATTTATCGATGACAAGTTGAAGAGAGGAGTTTGTGGAATGGACGAGGATGACCTGGAATCGGTACTTGACAAAGCCATAGCGTTGTTCCGATTGCTTCAGGACAAAGATGTTTTCGAAACATACTATAGGCGACTTTTGGCCAAAAGATTGTTGCACAACAAATCTGTCAGCGACGATATCGAGAAAAACATGATCTCTAAATTGATATTGGTGTGTGGACGTCAATTCACGTATAAACTAGAAGGTATGCTCAAAGACATGGCGCTATCAAACTTCATGATGGATTCTTTTAAAAATTTAGCCAGGACTCCTTTGAATTGTAAGAATATGGAACTGTCCGTTTGCGTCTTGACAACTGGTTACTGGCCGTTGCCAGCAACCACACCGAAATGTAACATGCCAAGTGTAGCGCAACTGGCATACAATAATTATCAAAACTTTTGTATAAGAGAACCCAAGGGCCACCAACAATTAAGGCTCCAACCTCAATTGGGATGGGCGGACATTACTGCCGTGTTTAACAAGACTCGTCAAGATAATAGTGCGACAAGCACAAATGCCATCGTTGTGTCCCGTTCATTAAATTCTGGTACGAGCGTGAATTCTATTGGTACGTTGTCTACACGAAAATATAACTTCCAAGTTTCCACCTATCAAATGGCAATACTGATGTTGTTCAACACTTACGAGAAAATCACTATGGAAACCATCATGAACAAAACCGAAATCGACAAGGAAGATCTGACCCACGTTCTGCAATCGTTGGTGATGGGCAAACCACCGCAAAGAGTGCTGTTGAAGAGCCCTAATACACCAGAAATTGAACTATCTCACGAGTTCTCTGTGAACGAGTCGTACATGTCGAACAAATTCCAAGTCCAAATAATGTCAACCTCAACTAAAAGCGAAAGCAAGCCAGAATTTCAAAAGACCAAGGACACGGTGGAAGAGGATAGAATGCACAAAATCGAGGCAGCAGTGGTTTGCATTATGAAAGCTCGCAAAAAACTAACGCACGATACGCTCGTAATAGAAGTTGTTGAGCAGTTGAGGTCGCAATTCATGCCGTCATATAAATACATTAAAGAACGAATCGAGTGGTTGATCGAAAAAGAATACATAGCACGTACTCTGGAAGATCAAAACACTTACATCTATGTCATATAAACACATGCCACAAATTGTTTATCCGACGTCCATTTATGTATGAGGTAATTATTTTAAAATATATATTTTCTTGTTTTTAATACTAGAGAACAGAATTTTAGGTTTTTGAAAAGTTAAAATTATTATAGGCACTAATAATGTCTTAAAGTATTCTGTTAATACTTAATAAAAAACTGGTAAAATATGGTAAAAAGAAAAAAAACCTAAAAATCATCTCTTATCTCCATAATAATATTTTTTCAATGATAATAATATAATTTCTGATTGATACATTTGTTACCCTTTTAAAGCTGTAGAAAGCCAATAAATATATGTATAAACTTAAAATATATTTTCATGTAAAAATCCACTATAATAGCTAAAGTAATGTAACAAAAACATACTATATAATATGTTTAATTATTCAGTTAAAACAACAAATACATTTTGAACAAAGAAAAAAATTATAATTGAATATTATTTCTTTGAGAGATAAAATAAATTCAAATTAAAAAATATTTTATTCCTGAAATAGGTATTACCAAAATGTTATATTTAAATATTAAAAACAATCTCTCTAAATACTAAAACATTTTTAATAAAAACTACAAACTAATGCCAACATACTTGAACGTAAAAAAAAATAATATTATTATTGTTCACTATATCTTTGGTCATTAAATTTAATGTAGTAATTTAAAAACAGTCTCTCTTAAAATAATACAATTATAAATAATAATTCATCAATATATTGATAAAAAATATGATTTTTTCAGAAAATTATGCAAACTAGATAAAAATATTCTCTAATCTCCTAATTTGCAACTATATGCATAATAAATATTTATCTACAATTTTTTTTACATTGGGGAATAATTTAAATTAATGCTTTAAATAGATTTTTAATTCATTAATATAAATTTAAATCAATTGGACCGTTGGACTGATAATCATTGTTTTTGCCACACTAGTATTGCAAACAATTTTATTTTAAACACAAACCTTTGTAAATGTTTAACCAAATTAATTGTGCATTGTTTTATGTTTCAGATAATGGTTTTGTAAAAAAGAAGTTTGTAGGTTGATACATTTCTACCTGAAATGTATCAACCTAAAATGTAACCTGAAATGTATCAACATGTGATTTTGAACTAATGAATACCGACGGTTTTTACTCGTGTTTTTTTTTCCTATTTAATTATTGTTTAAGTGTAGTATGAAAATAATTCAAAATTATTCTAGTGATAAGATTGTGTTTTACGTTTTATGTAGTGTGCATATTATGTAGATGTTAGTTTTCTATAAGAATTATTTGATTTTGCCATTAACTTTTCACTACTTACATTAGGAATAATTTTAGGTATTTTTTTGAGTGATTGTTTATAAATATACTCGATAAAAAAAAAATATACTTACATTTTACTTTATACATATATCCTTAATCCTCGACAGCGATGATGAATGCACCGTATGTGGTGAACAATGCAACAAAGTTGCAAAATACCACAACAAAACCGACTAATTAGAATGTAAGATGGTTCGACATCGTTGGATGACAGTAAATAGAAAAGTAATGTATTATAAATAGTAAATGTTAATCCAGCCCATTTACACGGTGCCGTTTGTTATGAACCGATATATTCATCGGAAACAGATTAGTAAGAAAAAGTTACAGTATACTTAAATAGTATGTGTAAGTTGTAATGTTTAAAATGAAATAATAATAAGAATAAACTGATATATGTATATAATTGTCTAAACACTTTTAAATTGAAATATAAACTATGTATTAAATTTCCCCAACAACACTTTCTTTAATTATTTCATTTGCAATATTTTTCTATTTTTTTTTTATAGATGGAACTACTTGGTATTAACTAAATGAATAATAATAATATGTACATTTTAACATGAAAACCCCAATGACTGCTATGACCTGCTGTTGATACAGTGACTTAATTTTTTACCAATCAGTTATATTTTTCTGGTTTTCTCGGTTCTTAGGATAAAGGAGTTGTCTTTTTTCTAACGAGTGTGAAACTAGCAATTCCATTCTAGCAATTCGTGATAACGATTTTACGTATGGACCGCAGTAACCACTGCGGTTCAAATAGGTTACCGACTGGTGACCTATGAAATATCATGATATCTACCGCTAGAGGCCGCCGCATATTCCGTATATGCGACGGCAAAGACCCATAAACCGCAGACTACCGCGGCGCGCCCGGGACCGAGCCATAGACCTACGCCCGGGCCGCGTTCAGAAAACAATTAAAAATATAACCCCCGACGGGTGACCTTTTTCCTTATGCCCGTCCTATGGGAAATTTTCTTAGCTTTTTAAATACATAAGTTTAATCAGCGGACTCGGCCCGGAAAATACACCCGAGCCCAAAAACTACGGCCCGGTCGCAGTACGGTTACGCCCCGGGCCGCGCACTGGTCGCCATCCAGCCGAAAGACTACCGCCGGGTCGCACTACTGATGGCGCCCTGAGGCGCACTCTTGACGCGTACACAAAAGTATTAAAAATTGTGGCACTACGGTTTTCGAAAATATAATCCACTACGAGTGCATTTTCAAACTACAGTAAAAAATTGTTTGATATTTTTATGACCTCATCGAAAGTAATAGATTGTGTTTTTAGCCCTTTATTATATAATTCTGACTCTTAATTATATATATGTCTAATGTCCTACAGTGAAATACTATAGTATTATAAATGTAATGTAAATAAATACATTTATGGAGAAATTGTGTATTTTAAGAGTAAAGCTTATGCATCTTATAAATAAATAGATTTATCAAAAAATGTTATATTATAAAATATATTGGAAATTTAATTTACTTGAAAAAACATTTGAAGAAAAATTACGATTTTCATAACGGTTTAGGAAATAACTTTATTTGATTGATCTAACATTTTTTGCAGTTCGTTTTTATATGTATACACATCGATTTAGGGGGTGAGACCAAACATATATCATTTATTTTTTTTTCTCATATGGCTAAGGAACACCCTAAATTGTCTATCTTATGAAAATATTACTCAAAATCTTTTTATTAGAATATTTAATTTTGTATAATTTTTATCTAAAATATTTTATCATATATTTAACAGTTCGTAAAATATATTAAACAACTACAAGTTGTTAATGTTGGTAAATAAATATTTTAACATAGCACTAATTATGTGTAGTAATTATTACGTTAGAATATAAACCTAATTTTTTAAAATTTTTGCTTACCAAAGTTAACGTGATTAATTACACTTACACAGCATTTTTCATAAACATAGACGCATAGATAACGTTTCGCTAAATACTAATTTAGATCTTAACTAGTTTATACTTATAAATACAGTATTGATGATTTTTAATTGGTTTTATTGGGTTCAATTTGTTGTTGGAATCCGATACTGAAAATGGTGCCAAAAAGCAAGCATTGCGGCTAACCAATAACATCATTAATTAGTAATATTCATTTGTTTATAATGTGGAAAATAATTATAATTATCAAAATCTAATTCCAACAAAACGCTTTATAACATCATCTTTCTAGCGGTATATTACTCATGTGTCCAGGTATACGAATACTGTACCATATGAAATACATTTTTATTGTATTTTAGGTGTCGTGTTTGTTTAATACACTATATAATATGCGACGTCATTTCATTCGCGTGTAAATTAAATAGAGTAGGGTAAGTAAACTCGTCGCTGCGACTTTGTCACGGCGACATTACTGTCACTAGTAGTCACTGCGACACTTGGGTAAAATATATGGTGACCAGTGATTAAAGTAGTAAAATATATATTTACAAAAAAAAAACAAAAATTGTGGCGCCCGTGGCGACACTGCCAGTGGTGACTCCACTTCTACGATAATATTGTCACTATCACCGTGATAAACTACAAAATAGTAAATATCTGTAATCACTTAATTTTACACTTGTTGTAAAACAATTAAAATATGGATATTGGATGTTATAAATTTAAATTTTATTCTGTAGTTTAAACTTTTGTAATGTTTTTTACTTATGTTAAAATATATTATCTTTAATTATCTTTATTGCTCTTATATACTTTGTACACGATGTAAACATTTAAATTTAAAAAAAGAACTTTTTTTTTAAATTAATATTATATTTAAAATTTATAACTATGGTTTAAAAATAGTATTTGGCTGACTTTTGTTGGTTTTAGGCGGTTACAGCGCTCATTAAACACATATCCTGCCTTCGAAAAAACTCTTTCGCATGGTACTGATGTCGCCATTGCACAACACTTTTCTCGGGCCAAAATTCGTAAATGTGGGTAGTTGTACCCATGCTCTTTCCACCAAGCCAAGGGATCACCAGTTCTAATCAAAAGATCTTCTTCTAAATATCTATTAACCTCAATTATACCTTTGGATGTATTTGTCCCTTGGGGTGTAACATTTGATCTAATTATGTCAAAACTATTCCAAATACTAAACTCATCACTTTCTATCTCCTCATTGCAGCTAGTTGTTGTCATATTATCTTGTATTGTTTTAACTTTGTCTGCTGTAGCACTTATTATTCTATTTTTCGTAAGAGTGGCAACTTTCTCACTTAAGGGTAACTGTTTAAACCTGGGATCTAAAAATGTACAATTGGTAAGAGTGTTAATATTTTCCAAGTTGGAGAAACGTTTGTCTAGTCCTTTTTTCAACTCTACAATAACTTTTGTAATATTAATATCATAATTTTTCATATACATCTTTTCAGTTATTGCCTTTAGACTATTAACCATTACAATAGCCAGAGAAGCACTCATATAGTTCTCTCCACTCACTGCTTTAGTAACTTCTTCAAATGGCTTTAAAATAAGACAAAGTTCCTTACATATTTTCCAATCATGTGGTAACAAAGCGGGCAAATTAATATCGAGAATAGCAACTGTTGCTTTTAACGCATTTTCCAATTCTATGAAACGACTTAACATATAATAGGTAGAATTCCACCGTGTGGCTACATCTTGCAATATTTTTTTTGGTGTAGCTCCCAAATTTCTTTGATATTTATCAAGTTCATGGGAGGCATTCGCACTTCTTTTGAAATGCCCCACCAATGATTTAATTTTAATTATTATATTTGTTATTTCAGTTATTTTTAACGATTCTTGGACTATTAAATTTAGTGAATGGGCAAAACATCCAAAATGCTTTAGATTCAAACTATTTATTGCTCCTTTAATATTATAGGCATTGTCAGATACAATTAATACAATTTTGTCATTTAGCTCCCAGTCAGTTATAATCGTCTGCATTTCTAAACTCAAATTTGAACTAGTATGTGTCTCTTCAAAAGGAGAACATTGCAACAAAACCGAATTTAAACTAAAGTTGCTATCTAAATAATGGGCCGTTAACGCTAAGAAGCTTTGATTGTTAATGGAAGTCCAACAATCTGTTGTTAAACATATAGATAATGCTTCTGCTTTCATTTTAATTTTCATATCGGATACACATTTCTCATACAAAAAAGGTAGTGAGGTATTTGATAACTACAAATATAATAACAAATACTAAACTAAAAATAGTATGATAAAATATAATACAATTTTTAAGTTGTAAATACTATTGGTAGTACACTGATAATTATTTTAAATAAACTATAGAAAACTCTAAATTCAAGTAAAATAAACTTGTCTGAGCTTACTTGTGGTAACTCAAATGTAGAGGGTATTCCTAAAATAACCAATGGATGCCTCCTTTCCATATGTTATTTTAAATTAGACATGGTAGTTTTATGTGAAATTTTTACATGACATGCATCGCATTTGGCATGATTTGAGTCAATATAAGTAAAAAACTGCCATAGTTCACTAGTTCGTTTTCTCGAATCACTCATGATAAAATTCAGTTATAACTTAAGTAGAACTATCTTTATTTTAATATTACACAGATGACAAAACTTATGAATTATAATTAAGATAGTTTTTTTTACGATTTACACTAGCTGTTAAAGAAATCAATGTGAATATTTAGAAGGCATAAGACGATAAGGGTGAAAATATTGGCAAAATCACTCGAGGGGAAGTCACGTGACCACAATCACGTGTATGTTAAAAAAAAAGTGAAAATAGAATACTTTTTAGATTTTCCATATCATGGCAGAAAAAACCAAAAGCCTTATTTTAAACTAATTGCAATAGTGAAAAATCTGAAAATACCACCATGTTAAAATTTACGTACTATAATACCTTACTTAGGCCATTATTTAGATTTTCTGAAATTTATTAACTTTTTTTTTACAAAAAAAAAGTTTATTT